TTATTTATTTTTTAAAAAAATATTTATTCGCTAAAATATTTTAAAAAATAAAATTTGACAAATGTGTACAACAGAGCTGCATATCTGTGCGCGCTTTTTGAATTTTTACTTTCAAAATCTCTTTTTTGTCTTTACATGGACTGATATTCTGTTCATCGATATTTTAGGGTATTTTTTTTTACATGGATTGATATTCTGTTCATCGATATTTTAGGGTATTTTCTTTACATGGATTGATATTCTGTTCATCGATATTTTAGGGTATTTTCTTTACATGGATTGATATTCTGTTCATCGATATTAAAGGGTATTTTCTTTACATGGATCGATATTCTGTTCATCGATATTTTAGGGTATTTTCTTTACATGGATTGATATTCTGTTCATCGATATTTTAGGGTATTTTCTTTACATGGATTGATATTCTGTTCATCGATATTTTAGGGTATTTTCTTTATGGATTGATATTCTGTTCATCGTTATTTTTGGGTAGTTGAGAGGTACTGGTAACTCAGGAGCAATATTACACTGTTGATAGGGCAGATTATCAGAACAAGTGCACGTTTTGTGAGCTTCGGATAACATTAATAAAAAAACATGACCCTTTACTTCTATAAAAATAAAAACGACTGTATGGACAACACTGCTTGTTTTTGCATTTACCAAGTGGAATTTTAAATTATAGTTTTGTGGAAATTCTGTAAAATTTATTAATTTACTGCTCTGATTATTTTTAGTCACAAAATTAGGATATATATTTGTCTTTAAGATATCAGACTGAAATTTGACACGCTACACGTATTCGATATGAAAGATGTGAAGACATTGAGTCTAAGGGCCGATACACACGGTAAGGCTTGCCTTTTAAGTCTAAAACCTTATGTATTTATAAGGCAAGTCCTACTGTGTTTACCGCCCTAAGAGGTTCGATAAGTTTTTCATGCATGACCTTTTGTCCACCTGCGTGATTGTCAACGCATTTGGAAAATACGACCTACTCACTTGGGTCAAGCCTTAGAAAGGTCTTTGATCAAAGTTTGGTCATCATCCGTTTTAAACTTCATTCTCGACTTCTCCACAACAACTATGTCAGTTTCAAACAAACTTTATACAGAGAATCGTTGAGTGATGGTATTTAAGTGTATGCAAATAAAAGACAAGATATCTTTCCAGTAGAAGATGGTTAAGAATAGATTCGCCAGTAAAGAAAAAATTTTAATATTGAGTATAGGTTCAAATCACGGTACCGGGATAACAATAAGGGGTCGACGGTTTTTTATGGGAAAAACATTTTTGAGAATAACAATATTCATAAGTATGCAAATATCCAAATATAGTGAAAATTCAAGTTTGCTCAAATTTCAAATCTTGACCTGTGGGGCTATGTTAGGGCAAAGGGAATAAATAAAAACTTTATTGAAAAAAAAGTTTATATCAAGAACAACATAGTCTAAAGTTAGGGAAACCTCCCTGGATTATGCAGTGTAGATAATAACGGTTAGCATCGTCATTAGTATTTTCGCATAAATAGCAGGACTTTTGAGTTTGAATACTGTTCGTTATCTCCATATATTTCACTTATATGCCAGTTTTTTTATTCATCTTGGAATAAATTATCCACAATTATAGTAAGATTGGAATAAAAAATATATGCTAAAAATATCTTTGAAATTGATCTAAAAACAACATGGAAACAATCGGTCATTTCTCAAAATATTTGTTACATGTACAAGCTTCTGCAACAAGAAGACTACAATTTGTAAACGTTAAATAACCTCAAGTCGGCGGGAACACGCACGTATTGTTATAACCAATATTCCAGAATATTATGCGTCATAACTTAATTCTAAGCTGATTATAAGTGCAGTTTCTTAACTTATGCCATTTTTTTTTTTTGTTTACATAATGCAAGTTAATTTAATCCACAAATACTACATGTACATGTACGATACATGTTTTACCTTTGTGATGGTTATTCTACGAGAAAAGCACTTACTAAGCATTTTCGTCTTTTTTATACCCTCGCTTGAAAAGCGGGGGGGGGGGGGTAAGGGCTGGGGTAACACGGTAATGGGAATGTCAGTCTGTCCGTCTGTACGCCGTAACACTGAATGAGAAAGACATTTCGGGTTTACCATAGCAAAACATGGACACAGTCATTTATTCCATAAAATTTGGGGGTAGCCATCTCTTATCTGCAGCTCTTCCTATACCACTGAATAAAATTTAATAGAGACTTTTACGGACTCTTCATTGCATAGAGCCAAATATTGTGCAACTCCTATTTTTTGTTCTGATCGGACAGTTATTCGGAGTTTCCCATGTCAAAAAATAGACTTTCCCATTATACTCAATTGGGAGCGCGGAAGGGGGGGGGGGGGGGTATCATTTTGTAAGTTCAGTGCTCGCAGTATCTCGAGTTTCTATTGTGATGTAAAACATTTTGCAAAAATGTTGCAATTATGATGCATAAACCTTCTTGTCAAATAAGTCGCACTTCTGTCACTTAATCTTAATTTGTGTATCAGTTCTACTGATCTTGTTTTACTCTCGTCGTTCCGATTTTATGAATAGAAATACATGTATTCTCATCACGAGTTTGAGGATTTGTTATTTATTTTCCAGTCTAAATGCATGGTCCACACGATTGTCTTAGTTCCTTAGATAATTATTATTTCCAATTGTTTAATTCCTTTTTTAATAATGGTGATTAAGCAAATGAAAATAATAGCTAAAGCGAGTAAAAAAAAACTTTTAAACGAGGGGTGGAGAAAATTATAAAATATTTATCATGTGCAATTGAAAATGAAATTTCTGTTTCGAAGCTCTAAATTTACGGGTTATACAAAAAGCAAAACACATAAACTAATAAGGTATTTTGTATATCAATATAATAAGTATACAGGACAGAAAACAGATGTTATACGCCGACTTTACACTCAGCTAATAGGTCACCTCCAATATTTAATCACCGAATCGCATGATTCCGAGCCTCCTGTGCTTTGAGTTCCATGACCCTCTATTTCCCTGCATTTCTTGACCAGATTTAATTAAAGGCCTTTTGTACTACTCAGAATTCGTAACCAGCTAGTAAAATGTTTTGAGAGTAGATTTCTTTAGGTATTTATCAGATAGCAAAGGATTTTATCAAAGAAATCACATTTTGAGAAATGTCATTATCTTTTAATTACATAAATTTTAAAGAACTGGTGATGTGTGTAAATTCTTATTTGCGTTCGATCTCTGTAGATAGACTATGAATATGACAATTCTATGTAAATTTTTTCTCATTTCTTCAAATGTGTTCGTAAAAAAGGACTTATGCAAGACAAAATGAATTGAGACGTCATTTTGTTGCGATGTTTTTGTCATGTTATTTTATAATAGTCTATAGAAACATTACACTATGGATATTAAAAGTTTGGAAGCATTCGATCGGGCTTAGTCATCTTGAAATCAACGCCGCAATTTTGGAAGAAAGCTAATTTCTTGTCTCTCTAAAATAATATATTATATAGAAAATGTTCTTATATATTTTTCGACAATCATATACACGCAAGTTACCAAACTTACAGTATAGTAGAAAGCAAACTTGTTATTTTGTACGATGATCCTTTTTTTTCATAAGTGCCCCTTGGAATCTCAATTCAGTTTTTCTTCTTTTACGAGGCACACAATCAAGCAGAAATTCCAATTCAGCACCAAATGAAAAGTGTATTCAGGGATTGTAAAATTGCTGTCAAAACTCTGGACTCGATTTAACATTTTAATTCCAACTATTCGTTGTTTACAAATATCCAGCCTGTGACTTAGCAGATTTTATCCAGTCATTGAACCAGAGCCATTCAAAAATAAAAATGAGAAGAGAAAAAAAAATGATGACGTATTTGTGTTTAAGGTTTTCATGTTTTTATTTTTCTCTTCGAGTGTTTTAAGTTCGCAGAAATACAATTTATGCAGTACAAAGAATCCATCTTCACAATTTTACTGATGCTTTTCATCTGATATCATACCAGACATTTAAATTCATTTATTCACAATGTAATACGATAATTATGGGACATAAATAACGTATCATACAGTAATCCAATCAAAAAAAATTTATGATTGACAAACATTAATAAAAACCAAGATTACCAACGCTTAATATTTCAAATAGGAAAAAAAACCTTTGATGAACTATAATGAAAAAATATATATATTTAATTTTTGTTGCAGAGATCTATAAATATTCTTAATGATAATAAAGAAAGAAAAAAGTTCCAAGAAATTCTCGGCCAGCCGAGATCTGGCAAGAAAGAATGAATAAAACAAGACTAGATTTAAGGAATGTTGTTTTCATTTATGGGAAAATATTTTCCCACAGTCTTTTAGTTAATTAGCTAATATATAATTGATAGACTCAAACAGAACTAAAACAGAAGATTGTAGTGATTAAGTTCTATTTCTCCGCAGTCATAACGGATCGTGATTTGTTAATTAGTGGTTGTTATTTATTGAAATGAACGCTTCGTGTTAAAAGAATATATATATATATATATATATATATATATATATATATATATATATATATATATAGAGAGAGAGAGAGAGAGAGAGAGAGAGAGCTGGTTACAAAATCCAGAAAAAAGATATTGCGCACTAAAACTCCAAGAAATCTATACTATATAGAAGCCAGAATTAATTAATCAAAGCAACAGAGGATTTCAATTGATATATATTTTTTCTGAAATAAATGTACATTGTAGTTGTAAATGCAAGCTGATAAAAATAAATTGGCACGGTGGAATAATACATATACATAAACTGTATACAGGACAATAATTAAATATTAATAAATTACACATGAATTCACACATATAGTATTCAGAAAAAATGGGATTTTTCTAACCCTGTTTAACAGGGAACGCATGGATGGAAGTACTATAATAAACAAAGATTACTTTCAATATTATGCAGACACTCCAGAAATTTGGATGGAATTCTCTTTATTGTTTTAATTAAAAATTACAGAGATCTGAATGTCAAGAACTGGAATGTCAGTGTAACACTTTAAAGGAATGACCAAAAACTTCAGAGTTTGTGAACTCAATTACGTATACCCATAATACCTTCTTATGGAAATTTGCCGTGCTATACTTTGTTAAGTGTTATATTGACGTGCACTGAATTTGGAAAACCCTGATCTTAATACTCTCAAGAACAAATGGTCATACAATTGAGCAGATTTTCATTTGATTTCTAAAGAAAGTTGTTTCCAGAATTCAAAAATTTTTATTAGCTAGGTTTAAATATAATGAGCTTACTGGGCGATTTGTACGTGAAGAAATCTGTCGACTGACAGACTGAGAATATGGACAATAGATTTAATAGGCAACAATGTGTCCACTAATTAGTTTTGAATGAATCGTTTTAATTACCCCCTGGTAGGTCACACCATTCATGCTAAGGTTTTATTGTCTGTCAAAAATGGCCACTAATCAACTTTGATTTTAAACTGTTAAATAATTAAATTTGTACTTTAATATGGAACAGTAAAAAATTAATATCAATTAAAATAACCTTTTACAATATCTTACAAATCGGACAAGAATTATTTTTCTTATAAACGTTAATCGTTTCTTATTTTCGACACGCTCTTCATAAAAAAAAATCCTTTAACTTTTTTTTAGTTTCAATACAAATAATTTTCCATAGTTAGCTTTTACAATTAAAATATTTAGATTAAATCTATGTAAAGCAGTCAGTAAATTTACATTTAAATGGTCCTAGCTTGTAGAAATAGGCTTTCGACGTATTTATGTCAATGTATATCAACAGCTATGCAAAGGAATATTAGATACCAAAAATTGAATTCTTGTGAATAGAATATATGGCTTAATAGGCCGACATTTCATCATTACACAAGTCAATGTAACCATTTCAAAAGAAAATGAATACAAAAAGCATCATGTACGATTCCACAATAGACCAATTGTCTCCCATACAAATATATTGCACAAGCGAAATCTTCATCCATTATACTCTTCAATACAAAGCACCATATAAACCCATGAACCAATCACAGTATCATATCACAGATAGGCTTCTTAAACCCGACAACATTCCTGTCTTTCGGACAACCGTTCGTGGTTCTAAATGCCACATAGTGAAGCAGACTTCCTGTGTAGGAAGTTGGCACTGTTATCACGAGTCTCCATTATACACTATGTGTAGAGCAGTGTCTGTTTGAGGTGGTTCTTCCGGATATTCAATTTCAGGTTCAGGAATATCTTCTGGGTCTTCGTTGTCCACTCCGATTAACCAGTTGATGATCATGTGATCTTTATCAGAATCCTCGCCCGAATCGTCTTCATAATCATCGTAACCGACATGCTTCTGCGGTATCAACTGGATGGTTGAACTGTAGCGCCTCATGCCGTTGACAGTACCACTATTGTATCTGTTTTTGGTCAAATTGTCTGTTTTATCTATAGAGAGTACTTTATTGTTCACAGAATTGTTCGTTCGAGATTTTTGCCGCATCGTCGTTTTTTGTCGGTTCGTTGTGTAGTCAGAAATAGGGGAAATCTTAGGTTCACTTTGACAGTGCGTAAGGCTTTTCTTTTTAAGTTGTGCGGTATTGTTGTTTCCACTAGAAATGGAATTATCCTTGGAGGATAACCGGGTCCGGTATCCGTTTTTGACAGACCTTGGCGTACTCATTTTTGCTTTTTTATCTATGGACTCTAATTTCAAAGTACTCACAGTTGATGAAGTATTGGTCTGTTCTGAAGGAACCCACGTCTTTGATCTCTGAATATATCCGTTGGTCAACTTTCTGCCATTACTGTTGGCGGATTCAGACGATTCCTGACTGAAAGGTGACTTTGTAAAGCGATGTCTGTGAGAACTGTCACTAGCGTTAGTACTTGGCTTGCTACTTCTACTTCGAATGTAACGACTGCTATGGTATGCGGGAAGGGGAGAATTCCTGGCTCTATCCTGTATTGGCGGCAATTCGGGAGCGCTCATCCTCCTTAAATGAGTGTCACTGTTCTTTTTTCCGTGATAGGAGTTTTCATTGCTAAATTCAATTTCTCTTATCGATTCAATATCAAAAGTAACACTTGCTCTTCGACGGAAATTAAATGTTGTCGTCGGTCTCGAGTTAAATCTCCCTTCCGTGCCGTTTGCCGGTATTTTCAATACTGACTCAAAACGATTATTTCGCGTCATTGGATTGGATTCCGATTTCATCTTACAGGCGCATGCGTCGGTATGTCATAAAGAGTTTATTATGATAATCTATTCAACGTATCATATCTGCACAGGTAGAGCATTTAAATTCATTCCTATTCCTATTCAGTAGGTCTATGTGAGCTATTATACTTTAAGTGATCGGCTATTGATAAGAAGGGGGCTATGGAGTCCATCAGACCTTGAACATGCACTGTGACGTGGAAATAGCGTGTGGCCAAACCTCGGTCAAGGACAAGATAATTTACCGCCAAGGAAGGCGGGTCTGCTACCGAGTATAGAACCAGTGTTTATCCAATACACAAAGTTTATTGATCCTCCAAACTTCCCGCTGACTTTTAACTGTCTTTGATCCAAATTTCAATATTTTCCGCTCAATTTCCAGACTACAGTCCCTTTTTTCGCTTTAATCAAATGTCAATGACTGCTGAGAACCTCGAATATCTGAAAAAGAAACATAATGGAAGTTTTGATATCAATAAACAGCTATTAATTTTATGATAAAGTACAATTTGATGCATCAATTAATCTTGTGATATCGTTCCCATTTAATCATTATTATTAATAATTTGTTGCTCATACACTTTCTCTCTCTCTCCTTTTTATCCCAAAATTAAAGAAAAAAGTATCATCAGATTGTGCTGATGAAAATATTTTTCAGTATACTTTAAAAGAAATCAAGCATACTTTTTTGGTCTAATTTCTCAAAGAGAACTTTAAAATGATATAATTATGTAACAGAATCAAAGAGAGGAGCTCCTGTGCTAAGAATTCCTGAGGAGTGCTTTCATTTCTTGGAACTAAAAACTCGTGGCTTTAGAAGAGACGGGTGGAATTAGTTGAAACTATTTGCTTTGGTAGAATCAACCCTGTCTCAAATTATTCTGTCAATGTTCCCCCACTTGGTGCAGATTGCAGACAGCGCATGCATTATAATTTATCTCCTGCCAGATGAGAGTCCCTGACTGGTAAGAACATTAATCCTCTACTCATCATTAAAATAATGGAATAAAACTTTACATACATTCCCTGTGATTATAAATTTCATCATACAGATATATTTATACAACATTTTGGTTTTTCCACAAAGCAATTTTCCCCACTTCTAAATTTTTTTCAATAAGAACATCTGCACCGACTTCAAATTAAATGACCTGCACATTGTACCGAAAGCGATATTTTCCGATACAAATACATGTATATACGACTGGAAGCGAATGTTCACAGTATACAATTAGAACTACTTACTTTTTAGTTCGTTTCCTAAGATTTATTACCTGTAGTTTGTAGCCTATCTATGCAAGAGACCATTGGCCTGAACTTAAAATGTCCCAGTGAAACCTTTAAGAGCCGCGTCATTGAACCAATATTGACACAGCACTTGTAGATTTATGTATTGGTCTTTATACATATAAAACAAGGTATTCAGACTTATCTCTTATTCTGCAGTCTATTTTTGCTTAAGAATGATTTAAGATGAGTCCCGGTGAAATACGATCCAAATTCTACTAGGCCCAAGTGTTACTTTCCACATTCTTATCCTTCGGTAAATTTTTTAATTGCCACCTCAGAGAAAAATGAAGACAAAGAAGACAATCTTAACAAGCATTCTGAGAGTATTGCATTAGCAATACTAGTCCCCTACCGGCAAGTGTAATCTGGTTCCCGTTAAGAATTAAAAATACCATAATTCCGTAAAAAATTAAAGAAGTGGGACGAAATGCAAACTTGATCTATAACTAATCAAGGTAAAGCCACATACCAAAAATCAGCTCAATATCTACAAGCGTTTAGAAGAAAATTGCGGAAAACCCTTAAAAATTGAAAAGGCTGTAATTCCGTCAAAAATCAATGAAGCGGAACGAAATGCAAACTTGATCTGTAACTCATCAGGATACACTCACATACCAAAAATCAGCTCAATATCTGCAAGCGTTTAAGAAAAAAGTGCGGAAAACCAAGTGGGACAGACAGAGGGACAAACAGACAGACAGACGGACAGACAGCTAGACAGACAGACGGACAGACAGACGGACGGACAGACTCAGAGGAAACCTATAGTCCCCTCCGGTTTCACCGGTAGGGGACTAATAACAAATATATAGTGAAAGGAAGATTGGAGACAATTTTAAAATCAAAATATTTCAAATTTTCCCATTTTTAATTTATGACAAATAAGTTGATAAAACCGTTAAGATCTTGGACAAACACTTTCAGTATTTATTAAAATTGATTACAATGACAGTATAATAATTGGCTAGCTAGAACCTTTGTAGGCAAAGGAGTTTTCAAAAACTAACAAGTCCATTTGAAGTACCATAACTCTATTTAAATGATACATGTACTATATTTAGCAGGAGGCGAGAAAAAACAACATCTAATTTTTTTAACTACTTATAGTAGTTAGATTAAAGCCTCAGCATGATCAGAGGTTCCAAGAAATATACGCCTCAATATTTAACCACAAGGTACAGAACCACAGCTAAGTTTCAATCAATGAAGAGAAAATTTATGATAGGTATACTCACCCTAGGACAGACGAAAGGTTCAAATTTATGACGATTTTCGCATTTAATCCCAGACACAAAAAAAACTAAAGTAAAGAAACAAAACTTAAAATGTCCATTTGCTAACCAATCTAATGTAACAAGTACCTTAGCAGACCCTAGTTCTGCTAATAGATTAAGACTTTTGCGGTCTGAACTGAAATGACTTTACAGATTATGGATGGAAAACTTGAAAGTCATTGGGTTTTATAGCAATCAGTTATCAGTGTGTATTTTATCGTTTTAGCGTGCAGTGCCTTGATTGATTACCAAAAAAGCTTAGCATGAGAGAGAGGCCAGGTATGATAGGGGGTCAAGGTAGAATGTCTGAGATAATGAAGTAAAGACAATTCAACGGGATTCCATCAAAGAAAAAGCAATCATGGAAATATTGTATTGGAAAATACGATTTTTTCCCTTTTCATGTACACCATTTTATTCGGGAAACTTTCAGAAAATATAGAACACAATTCGTACCTAATTATTTCTTCTTTCCTTATAATCAATAGAATCTCATTAGGTGCTGTCTCAAAGCACCCATCAAGACGAGAGGGAATGATGAATGTACACTCAACAAGATAATAAAAAAGAATATTAATTTGGATGAGAAAATGAAGTCTCTTCATGCATCTTGTTCATACATCATCAACATCTGTGTCGAGACCTAATAGACCTAATTAACACTTCTGTTCAAAGCTAATGGTTCCTGGGAATGGACATTTTGAAGTAGATTTTATTTTTTCTTTTTCTTCATTGTCCTTTGTTTGTCTTTTTTTTTTTACCTACAATAATTAATTCCAAGTGCATTGAAAACTTACATGTACCCGCGCAAAGGAAGTATTATTTATACGCCGGTAAACATGTCCTGTTATTTTATCTCTTTGGGTTACAGGATGCACTCCCGGAAGTGTCAACAGACAGAGCGTGTCTGATTTCACATGGGCCATGTTCAATCAGAGATAATCATGGCAGTTCCATCCTGTATGAAATCGTTATTTAAGTCCTGTTAACATTATTTAAAAGTTATCTGTGTGTGTTTTCTCATATAAAAACGAATACCCATTGAGAATCTCTAAACGAAATGTGGCAAAAATTACTATAATTTTCAATTTTGATTATTGTAATGGAGACTTTGGTTTAGATATTAAATCCTTATTTTGTAAAAGAATGCATTACCATCGGCAAACTCTTTCGGTCGATTTTCTGTTTTAGAGGGTAAGCGACCTCAACTGGCCTAGCAAATATCGGACTAATTAGAAACTAGGATATAGGCACGATACTTCATATGGGATTCTTATCTATAATGCATGTAAATTCTGATTTCTGACCTTATTTCCTAGTAATGGTCTGCTTTTTTTCTTTCCTTAATTTATCGGAGGTTTTTTCATTGCTTGATTATTTTATACTTTATTGGGCCGGTCACGGTAGCTTAGTGCTTTGTAATTTGTTTTGAAATCGGGAGGCCTGGGATCGATTCTCGTTTGCCGCGCCGGACAAACCTAAGAAGTGATTGTTCCTTCGCCGAGCGCCCGTCATTAGATGTGAAAGTCACGGATCTTTTAGATGAGATCTTAAAAACCGAGGTCACAGTTGGCGTTGGCACGATAAAGAACCCTCTCTGCTGAATGGCCCAGAGTCCAAAGTATAGGTCTAAATTTGAAGCCCTTCACCGGTATACAGTAACGTCTCTATATGAGTGAAAAATTCTCGAATAGGATGTAAAACAACATACAATCGATCAGTATATTTTCTTGCATTTCCTGGATAGGGATCACATTACTTGTATATAGACTGAAACAGTTACTTTATTACGTTTTCAAATGATTTTTTGAAAAATAGCTATCTAGATTGCATGTTGCCTATTTCGTATGGATGTATGTTGCCTATTTTGTATGAATAATAAGAAATTTAACAAATGAGATCAATGAGAACTTACTTTACATTGATATACGCGGATATAATACAATGGCATATTTATTAACTTTACTGGTATAGTGATACGCGGATACAGCAATATCCGTATCAGCTTCCAGGGCTGATACAGGTCCTGCAGGACTGATATGGATTTGCAGGATTGATACAGATTTATATCACGATCCTTGCAGATTAACCTTTAAAAAAAAAAACAGCACTTGTGATATTTGACCTATTATTTGTTTACATTCTCTGTAAATTTTTGCATGTTATTACCAAGTATGTAATTTAAAAAAAACAAACAAATAAAATATACCCTTTTCCATACCACACCCTGTATCAGCCCTCGGTCCTTCGGCCCTCTGGTTGATATTGGTGTTTCGGACTGATACTGGATGTGATATGAAATAAGGTATGTTTTATTCTCTGTATACTTTCGATGGTGGATATGGTTTGTTACTATAGTATTCATCAAAAAAATATTAATATTGATCGAGGCAAAGCATTCCTATCTACGCTGTACATGTATGTATATATATATTTATATTTGCTGTGTTTTTCTACTTAGCCAACTGTGAAATTGATTTGAAAGCCATTTTTGTGTATACTCACGAGTAGAAATATACACGGAGAAAGTCGCGCTAAAGTGACGTCACAACGAGGCTACAGAGACGTTATAAAAATATGACGATATAGGGCAGCGAGAAATTCAAACATTGGGTATTTTTTGCGCGCCTCATGAGATATGCCTATGACAAGTCTGTGTAATTTACACACCAATAACTCACACAAAGCTTAAAAACATTCCTTAAATATACTATTGAATATGGATTAAACTATTCACCTCAACTTGCTTATCTTATTTTTGCTGATTGTAAAATAATTATGTATCAGTATTCTCGGTTATTCATTGATAATGTGGGTGTTGATTTCTTATGTCATTAAACCTTTTTCTATCGGTATAATTCAGAGCTTAAGCTAGAGTAATTTGCGATCTGTTGTACACTAAACTTTGGGTTCTTTATTCCCTTGTTCCACAATAGACACTGACAGAGTACATATAAACAAACAACAAACAAAAACAAAACTTATGCACAAGGATAAATAATGTGCTGATCTTATGTAATATGTTGAATTAAACTTAAAATGTCACACATGGTGACATGGGTGATATATAATAATAAAAAGAACTTGTTTTTTTAATGCAAAGTCAATATTTTTGACAATTCCTTGATATTTTTGGACATTAAAGGTGGATTTGTTCAAGCATTTTAGGTCTATAAGAATTAATTTTCTGCAAAAACTTATTCCGTTAAGCTTATTATATTGAACATTTCAATATAAAGTAAGAGAGAGGTCACTTTTTATACATAGCAGCTGAATTATTTACATATCCCAAACTTATTTCCCAGATAAAATGACAAAATAAAGAAAATATATTCAGAGGAAATGACACCTTTTTTTTTATAGTAATGCTGTCTATCTCGTATAGATGTGCATATATAATAGACCATTCTGCCAATTCATTATTTTGTCTACATGCAGAACAGTAAAATGATTTTAAGATCTCCTCATTTGTTAAACTCTAAAAGCGGAAAAAACCATACGCGTATGCCGGCTTATAACACTTAAATCACCCGCACTCTCACTTCCATCCCCACCCCCAAAAAATCCAACAAACATAAAACAAAACAAAAACATTAAACAAAACAGAGACAAAGGAACATAACGAAGAAAGTGCAAAACAGAAACAAGAAAAAGAAAGACAAAACAAAACCAAGAAATGAAATGATTGACGGAGATATTGCTGTAGTATCACGTCCCTTGTAAGATTAGTTCACTCATATAGCGGTAAAAATGAACGAAGTAAATAATAATAAATTAATCAAAAGACAACTTTATTTCTTCCCCTATTTGCACAAATCGGAAAAGAACATTATTATTTTAATTATTAGTATGTCACTATGGTGTGTAACATTACAACGGTTGGATATATGCATATATACATGTAGCTATAGGTAAATGTTAGATAGTTACGAAAAAATAACAAAACTACTTGTACATGTATAAAGCGATAGTATACACAGATTGAAGACAGCGGAATATTTAGCCAAATACATATCCACGTAGCATATGTACATATGTACTACATGTATAAATATCAATTAGACTATTCACCTTTTTCAAATGCCTATCTAATTTTTACTTATTGTTTGAATAATTATGTAATATTATCTTGATAAAGTGGGTGTTGATTTCCTTATATCATAAGACCTTTAACTATTTAACTATTGGTAATGACCATTCAGGACTTTCTCTTCAAAGAAAATCTTAAATAACTTCTCGTTTTGTTTTCACTTTAACTTATAGAAAAGGTTTTATTTCTTTGTGCCTTTTTGGCACAACAGACAATCAAAGCACATTCAAATACACATGTAAATAAATGCACAAACAAACAAATAAACAAGGGAAAACTTACCTACAAAGATACATATATGTTCTCCAAGTGAATATTAACATATTCATACATAAAATACAGAATTAATTTGAAAGGTAAAAAAAAGTCCAACTTTTGACAATTTGATCCTTGACACTTTGGACACTTTAACGTTTGATCAGTTTAAACATCTTAGGTCTAACAATTATATTTCTTCAAATAATGATTCATTTATCTCTATATATTAGACATTTCAATATAAAGTGGAACAAATATTCAATGTCACCTAAATTACAAAGTATATGTACGTTGTATTTCTACTTTTTTCTGCACGTGGGCGTCCCTTAATAATGTGGTGAAGTAGCATAAAGAACGAAATACATTCCTTATATGTTAAATATGATGACTTCAATTTTTTAATCGTCATCTTCACTTCCTTATGTAGCAATATACCCGTATTACCTGCATATGGGGTTCTTTCCCAGTTGATTCGATACGCGAGAACATGCTCTAGGTACATGTACATATGTGTGAACAATTTCTAAAACAGGGCAAGCAATTGACAAACAAGTTGATGAAACAAGGATATCAACAGTCTTCTTTTTGAGTCATCATTTTGGAAGTTTTATGGGCGATACAATGACCTTGTCAGCAAATGCAACATATCATTAAATCAAATGCTGACTATCGTTTTTCATACTAATTGTTAGGCTATTACTAACACACTGAATTGTCTACGGATTTTTCCGTTTTCCCTGATTAGGACAAGGAGCACACGGCGGGTGTGACCAGTCGGCAGGGGATGCTCACTTCTCCATGGCACCTGATCCCACATCTGATGTTTTGGAGGTCCGTGTTTGCTCTACTCCCGATTTGTATTGTCTAAATGGATTCTGACCTTGATTACTGTTCGTTATCTCCATATTTTATGTTGCAGGCCTTTATATTGTTTGCTACGTATCTACTGAATCTTTTACCACTGCAGATTTCTATACTACCGGGTAGTATATGATAAAGTATTACTGTCTTTTCTAAATATAAAACTTCGTAGTATACATTACATATATTTTACACTCATTTACAATATCTAGAATTATACCATAAATAAATAACAAATATGTTGTCTACATATTTGGCATAAATGAAATATAACCCGAAAGAGAAATAAAATGTGTGGAAGGAAGAATTAACCGACGGACTATCAATATGCAGAGGGAAATAGTGTAATATATATATATATATATATATATATATATATATATATATATATATATATGTATGTATGTATGTATGTATGTATGTATGTATGTATAAATTTCAACCTAATTTTGTTAAAATTTATTTTTTGAAAAAAAAGAGATCTTTGCATAAACGTTGATAATTGAGCGTTTTCACATATCCAAGCTGACTTCGATGAAATTATGGTTCTCCGGATTGAGATTGTAGGGTAATTGGTCATTTTGTGTTTCAAGTGTTAATTACTGTTAAAACACCGTGCCGTTACCCTGACTGTCCGTGTATTTCTTTAATGCTAATTAAATCACCGTTGAGAACTGCGAATTAGTATGTTTGTTTTTTGCAGTTATCTATCGAAAAAATTACTACACAAACTTTGTAAATTAAATGATGTATTTCAGACTTAGTTTTGATTATGGTGACAATGCTGAATGAACGTATGTGAAATCTGTTTTGGAAAAATATCAATGATTTCTCAGTCATGATTTGTGGTTTTCTTTTTTTTTTTTTCCCAGTTTTAAAATAAAATATAGAAGCATGTGGTTATTTTTAATCAAGAATCAAGACAAATAAAATGATTTAACATCTAGACTCTTTCAGTCTTCTTGTATACATGAATAGAGCTACCTAGGAAAAAAGTATGTACATCAAGAAAATGCGTATTTTGATACGGTTAACCGGTTAATCGGTCGGAACGTCTTGCAGTTAACAGATTAGCAATTCTGTATTCGATTGCCATCCCTAATATATATATATATATATATATATATATATATATATATATATATATATATATATATATATATATATATATATATATATATATATATATATATATATATCCCTTATAATTAACTGGAAAGTTGAACGACCGATCAAGGATTAAATTTAATGCATTATTAGCTGACAGACTTCCAAGTTCCTGGTATATAGATTAAACAGTCCTCTACAGTTAATTTGATTTTAAATCTGCATTGATACTAAGACTATTCAATTTTTTTAAGTTTTGCACACGAAGGAAGATGTCTTAACTTGCAAGCAGCTAAATGGTTTTCATCAAAGCACTGGAAACTCCCCCGCGGTGAGGTAATGTCCCGATTGATTTAAAATCAAAAATATTTAATAAAACTGTCAGATCTTACAAACATAACAATTTTCTGCTCAGCTAAACACGACTGATATGTAAGAAACATGATACCTGATACTGGGTCGAGCTACCAAGACGCAAAAAACTAATGGACCATAGCATTACTTATCAGAAAAAAATAAGCAGGTAGATGAACTTTTAATAATTCTAATTTTTTTTTAATTGGCAAATTTAATTTATACTCGAGTTCCATTAACTCCTTATATAGTAACAACGATGATTTAAACCAACTGAACACGTCACAATTTAATATATAAAGTCGCAATATACCCCTTTTCGTATACATGTGCATGTATTAATGATATTCAGAACTTTTCACGCAAAATTCCTTTAATATACTTAGAAGTAAATAGTACTTGTATGTTTTACAGGCACAGGACAGTAACATGACCAATATCGATCTTGTATCGGAATAATCATCATTTTTACAATATCTATAACCAAAAACCCATCTGTTCATTTTTTCTAACTTCGAAGCATCTTTGCCGCATATTTACGAGTAACATTTTCCCCCACCTATTTGTCTTCTCAGTACAAAGTATAAAACAAAGATAGAAGGACATTAAGTTTTTTTTCCGGAGAGCACACGATTGCACGGACATAATAGTCCCTGAGACGATACAACATCTATTACTCTTGATATAATCATTAATAATTAAACAAACAGTTTCTCTTCTGGAAATATGTTAAGATATTTTTTTCCAAGTTTTATCAATTTATCACTCTTGTATTCTTAAAGCTACTTAGTTATTCATAAAGACTTTCTATTAATTTTACCAAGCATCCTTGCGGACAAACTAATCAACATTCTTTCGAAAATCTGCCGTCAAAAGAAGGTCCTTTAGGGATAAAATTTCCCTTAATATACAGCATGCAGTTTGTAATTTGAATTAGAATCTTTCCTTTTAACTTACCAAAATATTATCCACTGTAATGAAAGAAAAGCCCCTCAAATCACCAAACTTCTGACATCAGGCGATGGTGCAGCAGACTGATTATTTTTCCATCCTGGTCTCTATCTTAGTTACGTAACGAGATTGGTTTATAATGCAGGTAAAACACAGTTTATTGATTTTAAACGGCGAAGAGAGAAAATGATATCAGAGTATCACAAAGTGCATTAACATATTGCTGAAGTTTAAACATGTAATAAAAAGATTTCTCGCTGCCCCGTGAACTGATAACCCAGCCTAGTTAATCGCGCTTAAAATGCTTGCATACCTGTATACCTAGTCTGATTAGAATTCCCAATACGTGCATTTTCTATTAGATTGTATGTACATAATTTTACACCAGAGTTATTGAGACGGACTTTATCTCATGATATTGCCTTTGTCTGCGCCAGAAATAACCTTCATTACAAGAATATTCGTATTCGGCATATATATTCGGTTTAGTATACTATATTGGGATTAGATAAAACCCAACCTTCCAACTTCCAGATATAGTACAAACAGGCCCGTAGGAAGCAATTTCAGTTTGGGGGGGGGGGGGGCACAGCCAAACATTTTCAGTTGGGGGAGCACTATTAACTACAAAAATTCCTTGACAAGCAAAAAAGAAAAGAAAAAAAGAAAAAAAAAAAAAGGTCATCAGCCGTTTTTATTGAGGGGGCACAAGCATACAGTAGCTAAGTTTTCTATAGTATTCTATATATTGGCAAAATTATTGGGGGGGGGGCACAGCCCCCCGTGCCCCCCCCCCCCCGGTTCCTACGGCCATGACAAAAGTTGCCAAATTTCACGAATCTGAATCTATATAGAGAGGAAACATAGTATGTGCGCTCATCACAAGAAAGACTTCATTAAATTAGTATTCAAATTTTCTAGTGTATGTTATTTGGTTAAAATTGTTACAAAGAAAAAAAAACCCAGTTGATGTTGGTATAAAAAAGAAAATAAATAAGCAAGGATAAGAGATTCGTGTCAACATTGAGGAAATATGAACAAAATATGATGAATAAATCATGAAAATGAGTTTAATTTGCTCCAGAGCTACCAAACAGAGGCGCACTTTGGTGTTTGGAATTCATTGCCATCGAGAATCATTTTCTTGTTCAAAAAAAAAAAAATCCCCCATCCCCCCTCCACTAAAAATTTAAAGACTCACCTATTTCGTACTTCCGAAAATTCGTTTAACTGCGTCCTTTTATATTTCTTTTATCAATATTGCAAGGAAACTTTGTCTTTTATAGGCTAATTAATTGGCTTCATAGATTTTCGTTACTAAGAAGATGTTTTTTTGTCCTCATATGGATGTCTTTATCTAATTTATTTGTCCTCAAAAAATGGAAACACTTTCAATCATTGTGATATTTATTTTTAAATAAAAACATCTATAGCTTAAAGCTTCAAGTAGTCAACATTCTAGAAAAACTGCGAAACGGAGAAAATTAATAAGTAAATACAGCTGTACAATGTAAGCTTTCTTGTATGTTTTGGCTTTTAATTTTCAGAGAGGGGGGGGGGGGGATTTTGTGAAAGGCAAATATATCCAACGTGCATCATACTTATTTAACAGGAAAGTACATCTTTAAAGTGTAATTGTTTTATTTGACGTCATGTTTGATAAGAACACCATCTAGCTTAAAGTTAGATCGAATAAGAAATTAATGGAAGTCAAAAAATGTGTTTACCTTTACAAAAGCAAACAGTTTTCCGTTTCTTGTTCCCATCTCTATGTAAAAATCTTAAACATTGCCATTAAAGAGAAAATGAAGGATGTTTTAAAGCATAAACACGATATCTGTAGGAATAAGAGTGCATGGAAAGAAAGGAACTCAATAAAAGTACATTATGAATCGTTGTTTTCTAAAGGTGGTTTTCTACTTTGACAATAAGCACCACTCAGAAAATGGGTGGTCAATGGAATAAATCTTCAATACGATAGTCAATGGAATAGGCTTTAAAACGATAAAGGTTATTTCGTTAAGTCCGCACTGAGTACCCGTTGACATGTAAAATGACATTCAGCGTCTCTAAACCTTTAAAATGACCAGAATTTAAATATATTATGCATCGCAAGATTATCATTGTTCAACTTGATAAGTGACATCAAGAATTCCAATCTTCATTGGACATTATAAAAGAGGAAGTAAAATAAGAAATAGGAGATTTATGTGAAAATGTTAAGTTTAGCGAAAGAAATATGAGATTTATGTGAAAATGTTAAGTTAAGCGAGTTCACAATTATTGTGATGTCAATGTAATTCTGAACATCGTTTATCTTTTCAAGGATATACAAGTATATTGTTATTAGACACGTGTACTTATTCAAATGCAGTTCATTGTAAATAAAATGAAAATAATTATGCTTTCATGTCTTATTTCTCAATATATGTACGTTATGTTGTACGTGGGGTTACTTAGAAAAAAAGTTATATCATTATCCTGAAAATAACCACAATTACAGCTGTCGGTACATTATAAACCACAGAGTCTGACACATCTGTTTTATATTTGGATATTTTACTAGAAAAAGACGTTAATGGTAATCTAACAACTAAGCTTTATAATAACTTTAAGTTTTCAATCGTCAACTTCCCTTATTTATGCAAAAATATACTGGTACCTTCATCACCTGCATACGGGGTTTATATCTCTCAGTTGATTCGATACACAAGAGCATATGCTCTACCTATGAACAATTTCTAAAACGAGGTAGGTTATTGACAAATAAGTTGATGAAAAAAGAATATCAGCAGTCTCATTTAAAGTCGTCATTTCTTAAGTTCTATGGTTGATACAATGACCTTGTCAGCAAATGCAACATATTAAATCAAATGCTGACTGACGTTTTTCATACTAATTGTTAAGCCATTATTTACACACTGAATTGTCGACGGATTTTTCCGTTATTTCCCGATCATGACAAGGAGCGCACGGCGGGTGTGACCGGTCGGCAGGGGATGCTCACTTCTCCATGGCACCTGATCCCACCTCTGATGTTTAAGAGGTCCGTGTTTGCTCTGCTCCGAAATTTGTATTGTTTAATCGGCTTTTGAGCTTGAATACTGTTCGTTATCTTCATATATTTCATGCATCGCAGAGACGATAAGGCCACGTGTAATGGTCGATTTTTTTTACATTATAAGTTTAAGCAACAGGAAATACATGTGCATGTATGACGAAAAACTACACGGAATTACAGTTTGTTTTTTCTTCAAAAAGTTACGTAAATTGATTTTGAATTAGCTTACAGGGTCTGATAAGTTATAATAATACTGGTAAGTATTTTCTAGAGTTTTCTATTGAATAGGTAGAAAAATGGATTGGTTTGTCTTACATATGAAGGAAAAAATAGTGCTTAAATACTTGTCTCAGAAATAGGACAATCTCAGATTTGTGAACTGTAGAATACATGTTTATACGAACTGTAGAATACATGTTTATACGAACTGTAGAATACATGTTTATACGAACTGTAGAATACATGTTTATACGAACTGAGCATTTTCTTTAAACTGTTTAATGTACAAATCTACAAAAAATAAATATTGAATTGTTCGAATAATGTCATACAACCATTAGTATTGGGGCACAAATGTCATCTCCAGCGATTGAACCTCGCGACTTTGTGCGAAATCTTTTAACAAAATTAATATGTTTACCTTTCTCAAAGATGTTAAATAACAATACCATTGTTAAAGTTGTAAATAGAATTTTGAGACATAGTTCCGATTCTGCGTCCTACAATAATTGGGTATAACAGGCATATTATCACTAAATAAAAGTATTAAAAAAGAATAAAACACAATGAACATTAATATATAGAGGTCATTCAGGGTTCCGATAGAATACCTGCCAATACTTGTCCTTCTAGAACAAACTTTGCCTATTTGTACCTGCATTTACTTAGTCAAAATCATTATTTATGGGAAAGTTCCAAAGCTTTTATTTGGTTACATAAAGAATTCACAATTCACAAAACAAACTATGAGTTCTCTCTTCTACAAGAAACCGTCCATTGATTCTTGTCACATTTCAGTTCAATGCCCATTGAAAGACAACTGTATACATACATGTACCAAAGCAAACAAAGTTATGCAAGGCATTTCCTAAGATATGAATGTTATATTAAAAGAAAAGATCTATAATAATGAGTATTAATGTTTATGCATGACACTAAAACTAAATTTCTTCTTTAACCTATAATTCAAGACAATAAACGTCTGAAAGTAGGAAGAAAGAGAATTTTGTATTTTGTCAAATCTGCTAAATCTTCGTGACAAAGGAATCAGGATGTTTATGAATAATTAATTCTCGTACCTGTCTCCCGTTTTCCAATAAAAATCATCCTAGATTTTAAATGCTTTGCCAGACTGGGTACATAGTCGTCATTCTTGTTTAGATTTTTATTTAATTGGAAAATGTAAATGAAGAAGAGATTAAGCAACATTCGAGGAAGCCCGGTAACATGGATATAAAATTATCTTTATGACCAAACGAATTAGTGAAAGCAGGATTCTGCGATGAATAGATTTACCAACTATTTGGCATCTGTCTGTTCTAGCACTGTTCTACCTTTTAGGAATCTTTTTATTCAGCGATGTGTATTTTATGCTGATGTTAGATATATTGCTTGATGGATTTAAAGAACCATTGTTAAGGGTCTGTTTGATCTTTGGAAAAAGGCAACTTTTTTTACGATCGTAAAACTTTCATTTCAATTAGAAGACTTCCATAATTTGGAGAAATCCTATAATTTTAAGCGTTCCTATTGTCCCTGTAGTATCACACGAGATTTTTTTTTAAAAAAATCAATTTCGTAAGTGTGTTTTTTCAAAGTCATTTTGTCAAAGACTGAAATTGGGACACTCCTTATAAATGATGAAGGCAAACGTTAATGAGCCTTTTTTTCTATAGATTGCACCGTTATATCGTTTAGATTTAGTAAATTGGTCTTGGAAAAGTGTTTGCCTTCGTAAAGGTTATCAATTAGATTGAAATAGAAAATGAAGAAATGATATTCTGTGATAGCTTAGCATTTC